CCACACAACTTTATTCGTATAGGGAGGAAAGAGGGCTGCACGTAGATGCAAAGACAGTGTCGAAAGTTGTCCAACAATTCAGAGAGTCCGGGAGTACAGCTCCAAAACCTTTGAACCACACCAGGACTGTCTGTCTTAGCTGAGCAATTGTGTTCAGGACTAGTCTTTTGTGACCTTCAGGGAGAAAATGAAGATCTTTTTCTGCTGGATACTGCACAGAAAATGGGTGAACCCTTTCTTCCTTAATTTCCATGTATATTGTAAAGGATCACAGTCAATATCGAACAGAAATTCCTCTGTTGATTTCTTATAATTCATTCTGATTTTCAAAACTGCAAAAGACAAAATGCCTGTACGTGTTGCCGACTTTGCTTCCCTTCAAGATCTTGCAGAGTGGCACCAAAACATTCCCAAGTGGAAAACTTTGAAGTTTGATTGTCAAAACTTTGAATTTTGATTGGCCAGCAGAACATGTTTTTGTATTTCCTCTACTGTTCATTTTATCTATAATGATTTGTCAGCAGATGAAAGCTTATCTTGCACATGTTTTCATTTTTACGTCAGACAACATTTACATCCAAGTTGACACAGGATACAAAGATCTTAAAGATGCATTTGTGATTGGACAAAGCTGGTAAGTCAAAGGAAGGCCGAATTCCCTACAATAATGATGTCAACATGATTGCTTGCTGTACGTTTGTCTTGATGATAACATGAAATTGTTGTCAAATGTTGTGCTTTTCATTGCAAATTAACAAGAATACAGTGGAACCCCGCCTTACGACCACCCTGTTGATACGGCCACCTCGTTATTACAGCCACCTCGTTATTACAGCCACTTTATTCTGGCCTGAACTAAAGGTCAGCACACATGAGGGGAATAGTTCCTGCGACTAGTCCCTGCAAAATGTCACGAGGACAAGTCCCATCATGTGAACTAGCCATTTTTCCCACAAAATCTAGTCGCAGGGACTAAAATTTGGTCCCTGCAACTAGTCCCA